GCTGGCTTTGTTTCAGTAAGTGGAATGATTGGTCGCGTGGTTGTATCATGATTGGTAGATTGGTGCTGATTGGTGCTGGCTGTGTGTCTATTGTTGTTTCGTGTTGTAATGGCCTGGGTGGTTGGTGGGACTCATTTGTTGACTAGGGCTGGTTTCCAGATGTCTGGTAGGTGGGAGGTATCGTCACGCTGGAGGCAGGAGGTATCATCACATTTATTCATGTTGTGGGGTGTTTCTCTATATGGAAGCTATCGAAATAGAGCAACACCCCCACAACATGAATAAACGTGAATGAAATGAAATTCAATAAATGAAATGAAATGACGATACCTCCCGCCTACCAGACATCTGGAAACCAGCCCTAGTCAACAAACGAGGCCCACCCACCACCCAGGCCATTACAACACGAAACAACAATAGACACACAGCCAGCACCAATCAGCACCAATCTACCAATCATGATACAACCACACGACCAATCATTCCACTTACTGAAACAAAGCCAGCGCTCCACACACACACACCAAAATTTATAGAAAGATGGCAGCTCCGATCACACTTTAAGCCCAAAACCCAGCCTGAAGATGGCGAGTGAGACCTCGCTGAAACATTGCATAGATGGGAACAACTAGATTTGTCATTAATGGGAAGAATTTCAGTAATTAAGGTGAACATGATCCCCAGAATGTTATTTCTTTTCCAAACCATATCTGTATTAATTAAAGATTCTCCTTTTAAACAGTGGCAGAAAGAAATATCCAAATTTATTGGCAAAACAAAAAAAACCAAGAATAAAATATAAACGCCTACAGGATGCTAAAGAATGAGGAGGTCTGAGTTTGCCGGATCTTAGATCGCATATAAAACCTGTTATTTGGTGTGGTAAAACATTGGATAACATTGAAAAACCCAAAATTATTAGGTCTTGAAAGTTCTGATTTGAGATTTGGGTGTCATGCTTATTTGTGATGTAATAAAGTAAAAGTTAACCCTGGTTTTAAGAATAGTGTTATTAGACAATTGATTGGGCATGTATGGTAAAATCTAAAAGAAGATTGGGTGAAAAAGTGCCTCTTTGGTTATCATTCCATGAAGCACTGCACAGAAAAGAGATACTATTGGATTCTAAATAGATGACATATCAAGTTATACTGTTATTTGAAGAAGAGGGGTTTAATATAAAAACAAGAGAACAATTAGTAAGTGAAGAATTTATGATTGGTTTAATTATTATAGAAATTTTGAAAGATTTAAACTTGATTTTAAAAAAAGTTTTGTATTTGCAGAAGTTAAATCTGACCTGAATTTATGTTCTGGAGATAACCACATATACACACAAACACACATATAGTGTGTGTGAAGAGATGTTGGATTGATTCAATTATTAGATAATTGTTACTTTATTAAGAGGCGTGCATAAGCTCACCATCCCTGTCCTACTGTCCCTATTTACTTGTATTCATTTCCTTTGTTCATGTCCATGTTCATACGTATACCTGCTATCCTGTACAAATAAAATAGATTTCCACATCAGGGATATTTGTTTAGGTAATATGGCACTTTTGTTAAATATAGCTGGAAAAGTTTATTGTAGACACATTATGAAAGGGGAGGGGAAGATATTAGATTTTTGATGTATCTTTCAGCATTCAGCCAGGGTAGGTTCTTTTCTTATGTTTCATGTTAGATGTATTTATATTTGAGGGGGGGGGGTTGTACACCTCATTTTTTTTCCTTTTTGTCGTTAGTGTTAGGTGTTTGTTAGTCTATTTTTTATTTTTCTTCCTTTTCTTTGTTTTGTACTTTAACTTGGGTGATAAAAGAATAAATGAACATGTTTTTAAAAAAGGAAAAAAGCAGAGTGGTTCTTTGTTTTCCTGCTAATTATTCTTATTATACATAGACGGTTACTGTGATTAATCTCTTCTGTTCTCACAGCCCAGACTCCAGAGTATGAGGATTCTAAATCAAATTGAGATCTTTACAGCTAGAGGAAGGCCTTCAGTTACAAGTATGAACAATAAGAAGACCCATGTTGAGCAGGAAGGTGGCATTCAGATAAGAGAAAAAGACAAGTATAGCAATCTTATTTGGACTGAATTTTATTCACATATCACTTATTTCAAACATCTGTTCAAACATCATTCATTGTATTTGAATTTTCCATAAAATAAGTGAGGGCATTTGATATCCATTGGCAGAGCTGGTTTGGTTGGTGAGGGAGTAGAATTGAGAAGTCTCTATGGTTGTTGGTTATTCATTGTGATGTTTTAGGCTTTGTACACAGTTTACAGTTTACAGTTTATTAGGATTTGTATGCCGCCCACTCTCGAGAGACTCAGGGTGGCTTACAGATAAAGGCAGAAAGGGGAAACATATAGAAATTAAAAAGAACAGACATTAAAATTTCACAACATTCATATAGCTTAGAATGGGGCTGGATAAATCAACAGCCCCAGGTCTGCCGGAACAGCCAGGTCTTAATCGCTTTGCGGAAGGCCGGAANATAAATAAATAAATAAATAAATAAATAAATAAATAAATAAATAAATAAATAAATAAATAAATAAATAAATAAATAAATAAATAAATAAATAAATTTTACCCATCAGGCAGTTGCCACAATAGACCTTTTCTATTTGAATTGCATATATTGAATTCCAGACTCATAAGCAAACAAAATTCCCCTTGACAGGGTCCTATTTTTCTTTCTTTTTCTTTCTCTTCCAGTTTTACTCCGTTATTTGAGTCCACGGAAATTTATATAATATCAACTGGAGATTATTGATACTCTCATATTTAGATAATTTAAACTTTTAAAAATAAATTTGTTTATATCAGTATTAATTATCATTTCTAAAATGCCCATCCTGATACCAATACTGTCATAAAGTTGTTTAAATTAAAGCTGAACATCGTATTAAGAACAAATACAAAATACACCAAACCATTTGTTATACATAGCGTAATGTATATTATATATGTCTTCTGTGCTTTTCCTATGATAATAAATAAAAATAAAAATTGTTCTTCTTCCAGCCAGGAAATTTTATAATGAATGCAAAAAGGGGCTATTTTCAGTCTTTGGCATCCTCAGTTACTAACAAGAATGAGGCAACTAACAATGAGAGTCTTCCATCAAAAATCCAGAAAAGTCCAAAATTCAATCCTGAGATAGATAAGCAAACAATCTGGTTAATTTGGCTTCCCAAATACATATTCAACCTAAGGAAGAATCACTTAGCCTTGCAAGTTGCTTTCAAGTTATCACCCCCAGAAACATTTCTTAAACATCCTTCACTGCAACCCTCCAGATGTGTCGAGCAAGAACTCCAATAAATCTACAGCCAAGTTTTCAGTGGGGATGATGGGAGTTGTGGTCCATCATACCTGCAATGCATCCCAAAAAGGAAAGCCTGATTGGGGGGGGGGGAAGTATATTTGAGAACTTATGCCCTATTTGATAGCATCAAAAAAGAGTGGAGTGACCAGGTAAGGCGGCCTCTCGGAGACACGCCCGAGAGTTTGGAAAAACGCTTCTTCCCCAGTTCTGTTGAATGCTGCGGGGGGACCACGGAGCTGCGAGGGAAACTCCTGCCCCAAATAGCCCTGCTCGATTGGGATGTGTGCGCAGTTAGAGGAGCGAGGCAGGATGGCTGGGGACTTCTTCCCACTCACCATTTTCCTTGCTATAGCCCCAGGTCAGGGCTTCGCCGGTGGACTGCTTGCGCATCGTCCTCTCTCGCGGGCTTCAGCACCGCTGGCCGCGAACTTCTGACGCCCGAGCCATTTATAAGGCTCAGCGGACTCCAGCCTTGGGACAGCCCGGCGTCGGAGGCGCCCAAAGATCATTTACAGCTGGAGGCCGGAAGGGGGAGCTACGCACCAGCGCGGGTTTCCCCTATAACTTGGATCGTCCAGCCGACAGATCCGGCGGCTGGAAGAACGATCAACTTAAGAGAAGTGGAGCTCACCCGATTTCTCGGTATCTTCCTTATGATCCGGATCTTAGAGGTTGATGCTTGTCAGATAGTGGTTCCTCATACTTTTCCATATTCCGTGTCAGAATTAGTTGACATTTGCACATTGTGGAAAGGATCCTTTGCTTCCTTCCTTCCTTCCTTCCTTCCTTCCTTCCTTCCTTCCTTCCTTCCTTCCTTCCTTCCTTCCTTCCTTCCCTTCCTTCCTTTTCTCCCTCTCTCCCTTCCACATGTATATGTGCTATTGAAGACTAACACATGTATGGCCATACTAAATTTTGTAATTAAAACACTTGATGAAGTTGATTTTATTTCAAGAGACTAACTTCCTTACCACTCTGGAAACAGAATTAACATTGGGATTGGTGACAGATATATAGACGGTACTCTTTGCTTATTTCCAATAGGAAATTATACCTTCATGAAATATCTCTAGCACAGTTAGTGCTTCCTTTATAAAATCTATATAAAATGTAAAGAGCAGAATATATTGCAAGATAATATTGTACTTATGATATCACTTTAAAAACATTACTGAAATACAAAGAAACCAAATAATCCTCTTGGTCTTGATGTACAGCATTAATATTACTTTATCACTTTTTCAGCTTTTCAATTAATTCATGAACACATTTCAGAGAGTCCGTTTGGTATAATGGCTAAGACATCAAGCTGAAGACTAAGATACTGCGAGTTTGAGTCCTGCCTTAAGCACAAAGCCAGCAGGATGACCTTTGGCCAGTCATTTTTTCTCAGCCCTAGGAAGAATGCAATGGCAAGCAACTTTAAAAACTTGCCAAGAATATCCCAGTAGGATTTGTCCAGGTAGTCATCTGGAATCAAGACTAACATGAAATCTACATTTATATTTACATCTGTCCATATGTATATTTCTGAGGTCATTTGAGTGAATTTAGCTACTTTGTAGGTTAAAACCAAGGACATGGTGCCTCAGTGGCTAAGACGCTGAGTTTGTCGATCAGAAAGGTCGGAAGTTCAGCAGTTCGAATCCCTAGTGCTGTGCAATGGAGTGAGCTCCTGTTACTTGTCCCAGCTTCTGCCAAGCTATCAGTTCAAAAGCATGTAAAAATGCAAGTAGAAAAATAGGGACCAACTTTGGTGGGAAGGTGCCTTCGGCATTTAGTCATGCCGGCCACATGACCACAGAGACGTCTTCGGACAGCACTGGCTCTTCAGCTTTGAAACAAAGATGAGCACCGTCCCCTAGAGTCGGGGACGACTAGTACATAGGTGCAAGGGGACCCTTTATTTTTACCTTTAGGCTAAAACAGATCAGTCCCTATAGTGCAAGCTAAAATGTTGCAGGGCAGTTATGCATCCTTGTTTTAAAAATAATGATGACAATAAGCAACACAGCAGTGCAATGAAACACAGAAAGAGGTCAAATGAGAAATGACTTCTATACTGTACTTGGATAAGAGATGCCTGTCATTCACCTGGGTACAAATACTCTTCTCACTTGCCTTTTAACAGCAGCACAAACTTTTCCAGGCATTTTTTTCCTCCTATGACCCCTTGATAATTGCCCTTATCTCTTCTACAGCCCTTGAGTGATCGAGACAGGATTATGTCATGCTTAGTTGTACCTCTGTTAAAGTAGTTTTTTTCCCTCTGAAACAGGACACCATTCCAGAACAATCTCGAGGTATATAAAAAAAAATCTATTAGACTTTGTCATCTGTTACCTTGGAGGGAAGACAAGTGACCCACAGTGACTGGAAACAGGCAATAAAAGCAACATAGCAGCTACCAGTGACAGGACAGGAAAGTTCACAGTGATGGTTTTCTGATTCAAGAATGTATGGAGAGAAATTTAACTCAACTGCCTTACTTTCTACTTTCTTTTATTTATTTACTTAGTTTGTCAAACATGTATGAGATAACAGGTATAAATATAAACATGGACATGAACAAAGGAAATGAGTACAAATAAATGGGGGCAGTAGGACAGGGACACTAGGCACCCTGGTGCGCTTATACACACCCCCTACTGACCTTTTAGGAAAGGGCTGAGGTTCACGCTATACAGTTTAAGGTTAAAGTTACAGGGGTTTAATTGAATCACATAAATTTACAGTTCCAAACTATGTATTTTATATAAATGTAAATTTCATTTTAATTGTCTCGGTCTCAAGAATAGAAAATCTGACATCCATATCAATCAGTACCTTCAGGCTTTTTAATTCCTTTTTAGCACATTGGTTTAATTAATGTCGTAGGGCAGAATGAAAAAGGAAATTGTAACAATCTTCTCTTCAAATGAATAATCCTTTTTGCTGCATTTCCAGACAGATTTACATATGAATAAGAATAGAGGAACAAATGTGTGCTCCAGTAACTATTAGAGGCATGTTAATCTTATTCCAATTGAGCATGTTTAAGATGATTTTTGTGACCTTATTATATGTTCCACTCATTTCCTGTAATTTCTTAATTTGTCTATCCAGATTTCATTTATTCATTAATAATAATATAATTAATAATAATTTATTGAATTTATATACCACCAGACCCCCTCCCCTCCCCCAACAACTCTGAGGGAGTTCAATTGTTAACATTGTTAAAATATTTTGAAAATTGAGACTACTACTAAAAAAAACAAGCACAAAACAAAGGAACAACTACAAAGAAAACAAACTCAGAGGAGAACAGAAAGGAAGAAAGGAACATTTTGACAGATTAAAACAACCTTCCAAATTTGATTCCTTCCAAGAGTGTTGGATTAAGATGACCAGCACTGTAGGCCAACTCAATTATAGATACTGGACTGGGAATATTGCTAAAATTCAAGACGTTTATTTATACAGTATATCACAATTGTATGGCACATAATTTTCTCTTGACATCAACCACCTACAGTAAGCTTGTCTTTGCCATGGGCATCTGTGAGGACAGCAGGCAAGTGACAAAACAAGTATGACAACATAAGTAAACCAATGCCTCTGTTTACACCCTTGTGTCAGATGTTGAGACACAAGAGAAATATTTGCATAATGAGATCATTACTCATCTGTTGCCATTTTGATATCATTGGGGTTTGCTGTGAGTGCCGCTGATCTTGACCTTGAAATTTTTGGAAATTGTTGATTGAGAGTCATTGCCAATGAGAGGTAATAGGACTTACGGAAACAAACTTTCACGCAGGAGACAAACTTGGCATGGAATTCTCTTTCTAAAAAGCATCATCAGGCACAGATTTGTTTAATCTCTTTTTCTTTCCCCCAACCTGTGATTTTGCACTGTTACACTTTTAATATTCTTGGAAAAAATGTTCCATTTTGTGCAATGTTTTCTTGCAATTAACTTCCTTTGTTTGTTTTAAAAAAAGATTCAGTTATGTTCTTTTTAGTTTAAGCAAAAGGTTTTTTGATTGAGAGAAGCTATTTTACTGGCTGCAGTTTGCAGCTGAAAAATTCGGCCCTAAAATAGGTTGCAGGGAAATTTGTGAATCTACGTCAAGTGGAGCTAAACACAGCACTTGGGGTGACTTTAGAAGGGAAAGAGGTGAGAAAAATCTCTGGTGGAATCTAACCTTTGTCCCCTTTCCTCAATTTACCTGGCTAAAGAATTCAATCAGGATCAAAATACACTCCGCAGAACTTTTGAATAATTTTTTAAAAAGCATTTGCTATGCAAAATATCCTTCAGTGTTGTAAATAGTGGTTGATTATAGTTGGTCAGTTAGGTTCTTTTTTTGTAAGTTAAAGCAATGCTTCACATGATCATTTACTTTTTCCACTCCCTGATCAAAACGGTTGTATCTATATTAGTTTTTCCCCTGTCCGGAATGTCATCTGATGTCATGCCGCAAATTGACAAGAGTTGTATGATTGCAATGCAAAATGACTCAAGCCATCACCAATATATCCCATAAAGTGACACTGACACCTTTTGTCCCACCCAGCCCGGCCCTCTTTTGACTACTTCATGTCCCATGAAGCAACAGCAGCAGCTTGTTAACCACTTCCTTCTTTTATTCAGAGCCCCAAATGATATTATTCTCCCGTTCTTAATGACAGCTGTCCTTTTCATTTGTCTTGTGTTAACAGGAGACCAAGGGAGACAAACAATAAAGAGGTAGTTTGAAACCCCAGCACTGCTTGTTAGCTAAAATGCAAGGAGTGTGGAAAGAAAAGCATGGTAAAGTCAGCTACACGAGAAATGTGATTAACAGCCCAGACCTTCGGGGGAAAGTCCTCTTTGATTTATCAAGGTTCACTCGCCAGAGAATATAGTTAGGCTTAACTGCCTAAATTCACCAAAGATCATGTTGCATAATGAAAGTGTTTCCACATTTTGCAGTAACAAAAACATATTAGAATAGAATAGAATAGAATAACCAAGTTGGAAGGGAGCTCCCTACTCAGGCAGGAAACCCTATGCCATTTCAGACAAATGGTTGTTCAATCTCTTCTTAAAAACTTCCATTGTTGGAGCATTCACGACTTCTGGAAGCAAGTTGTTCCACTGATTAATTTTTCTAACTGTCATTAAATTTCTTCTTACAGTACTTCTATATTGCTTTTCCCCTTGATTCGTTTCCATCCATTGCTTCTTGTCCTGCCCTCAGGTACTTTGGAGAATAGATTGATTCCCTCTTCTGTTGGCAACCCCTGAGATATTGGAACACTGCTATCACGTCACCCCCTAAGTCCTTCTTTTCACTTAACCAAACATACCCAATGTCTATTTGTAGCATAATGCTGGAAGTTGCTGTAAAACTGGCAATCAGTTACACAATACATAGTTGTAAAAAGACTATGCATATTGTATATCTAGATTAGATATGTGACCATTATGAGTGGTGTCTGCC